GCTAATTAAGTCGAGACTCCCACTTGCACCCTTTACGATTTGCACGCTGCGTGTATATGGTTATTATTCGCCCTCTTTTCGCACGAGCTGTCACTCACACGGCCTTTTCATGCAAAGGTTCGGTTTTTCTTCTCCATACAAGTATACTTACCTATATATACTCACGGTATTTCAAGTATACCTACGAGGTGCAGGTGATTTTTAATGCTCTCTCTCTCTTTTCGGACTTATTTTTGTCCACTCACAAGTAGTTATATCTGCCGAATGCTTAAATACGCTTGAAGATATGTATTCGTATACATTTTAATACGATTAAAAACCATTACCAAATATCGTCCCTTTCATATAGTTTTCAACACAATGTAACAAGATTTGAAACAAAAAAATCATCATCTTCCACATTCAACCTCCCCCCCCCCCAAAGCCCCTGTTATGTTGTATATACATGTATAACTCACAGTAATGTAATCCGTGCACACACAAGCCACATTATCGGCGCTTCTAGATCGGCTCAGGTATATGTATAAGTATTGTAACACCTATGGGTACAAGGTATATAATATATACATCCAGTCTCACGTGTTACGATATCGAGACGAGCAAACGAGCACACCTTATCGCTAATACGACGCACGAAGGGACGCGATATTGGTATGTATATATTATATGCCTACCTCACCGGAAGCGATGCGGGGCTGCTCTTTCCAGCTCACCCATGCATATATACGTGAATATCGTAATGGGTTGAAAATCGAGCAAACGACCACTGCACGTCTATCGAACCTATATAATAAAACAAAAAAATATCAAAAAAATTTTTTGTGCAGATCAAGCAAGGTCCAAAATATTTTAGCTTATTCTGGTCACAGACAATGCAAAAAGAAATTGTAACATTCAAAATCCATTTTAAGTATTTGTCCATTCGGGTCCTTCAAATATGACGGTTCTTGTAAAATGACGCATACGTATATTATTTACCCGATAAGCTTCTTAGTTAATACACTTATTATCAATTACTGAAACTTTACGGGCCAATAAATCTAAGACCTAACGCGCGTCTTAAATATCTGGTGAATGATAATTTTGAGAACTACAACTTGGTAATAAAAAGCATAACTATTTATTTACATAATCAACTACATAAATCAACATTTCGGTGTCCTACTGACAATCTTTTTGGATTAGGGGTCTAAAATTACAATGGTATAAAAATTTAGTAAACGCTTAAACAAAATAAAACAATCAATTTGTATGTACAAATATTCATAAATATATTGACACTAGCAGCCCCCCGTCTCGGCTTCGCCTGAGACTTACTAAATAAAATACCGTAGTGTGTTGACATGTAATGTGAAACATTTTAAGTTAAAAATTTTACACATATTCCTGATACNAAAAAAAGGGAAAGGAAAAAATTCACGGAACGGGGGATTTTTTTTTTTTTTTCTTCTTTTTTCTCAAGACCCGGGGGTCGTAAAACGCCAGGCCTCAAAAACTCAAGGACCCATTGACATTTTCTCACCATCTCTCGTCGTTCTCCGCGTCATCCCCGGGATTTTCGGGGACACAATGGGCGCCAATTATTTTTCCCGAAGCCGGATAACGAGGAACGGACAAGAGTTGCAAGAACAAAACGAAAAAGAAGAAGAAATATTCCCTTTTAACGAAGCTCGTAATTCATATTTCCGGACCAAAGTGGCAAACGGGAGGGGAGAGGTGGGGCCCGTAAAAAGCGCATTGTCCGCCAAACAGCCGTATATAATGTACGTGCCATCACGGCGAGGCACAAAAGTCGACAAGTGCAATAAATGGCTTATTCTGGTCCCTCTCGCGTTGGACACTTGAGAATCCCCCCCCCCCTTGTACTCCACTGGGTTCTTCTTCCCAAAACGCTGGACGACGCCTACCGTAACGAGTGCGTTTTGTCCGCGTGTTTTGGTAGCCTTGCCTATACACGTATAGGTTTTTTCCGAAATCGAAAGTGGCCGTATATATTTTATCGGAAACTCGCGGGGCGACTCGTCATTGGGGAACCAACGCCCCGGAAAACATATCGTAGGCAACGAGAGGCTTCCTTTACATACGACGTGTGCAATACGTTGGATTTTGCGACGGCAGCTTGATTTTCAAGCGAAACAATGAAAACCAAAATCTGTCGGTTGGCGTTGCGAGTGACGCATGTCCCGGGCCCCTTTTGGCGCAAAAGGGAGAGCTAGACTGCGCGTCGCCGGAACTCAGCTCCTTTCTTCTTCTTCTTCTTCTTCTTCTTCTTTCTGCACTGTGACTCCTGAATGGACGCAGGTTTTTCCGTTTCGAACGTGCCGGTGTCAATGGGTCTTGGTCCATTTGTTGTGCAGCGGCGTCCGAAAAAAAAGAGGAAGAAAACCGGTGGCAGAAAAAAAAAAGAAGAAATTCTTGTGATGGTATTAGCATGACAGTGATAGTCGCGATTACCTATACATATATATATATGTTTTTTTTCCTTTCTCGAAGGACTATTCTGCCGTGGGTTGTTCGTAGCGATGAAAAATTCTATGGGGAAAAGGCGACACCCTCTGAGTCAGTAGGCGATGGACTGGTTATGGTTTTAGGGGGATATATTACTTTTTTTTTTTTTTTTAACAACAATTAGAGAGAATATTCCTTGAAAAGAAAGGGGGAAAAAAAAAATCGTGAGCGTAAAATATAGAAGCGCGCTTTATTTAATGCCAGCAACTATGGGAAAAAGCGCGGTGGTCGAGGCGTGTATATACGGTGCAACAATAAAAGTGAAGTGAAATGAAAAAGTTGAAGGGAGAGAGAGAGAAAAGAGGGGACGATCCGGTAAACTTCACACCTGACGAGCCGGAAAGTGCACCTGAAACTCCCGCGTATATATATATAAATATCCTGTCGGTTTTCAGTGCATAATATACCCCACAGGGCAGGTCCCTCGTCCTCTTTTTTTTTTTTTTTTTTTTTTTCTTCTTCTTCTGTATTATAACATTTACTGCTCGAACGTGCCGGTGCACGAGTTTTTCCTTCGGACCCTCTTCTCTCTCTCTTTCCACTTGTATCTATTGTACGTATAATATATATGAAAGCCAACCCAGGGCCCATAGGCCTCTTTCAATGGCTGGATGATCTTGAAAAATGCTCAAAGGTGTGATTTTTATTGGTTTACTGCACTTGAGCCGCCTCTCCGGCTATATGTATGTACACACACACGCACACGCATAAGAAGTGGAAGGATTGCGGGTGGGGTGCTGTATACACTTCCGTTGGTGTAAGGATGCAACGATGCCGGTACGAGTGAAATTCCAGATGTTGCGCTCGAAATGACATTTTCCCTGGGCAAGTTCGTGCTTGACCACCGGTCTATACACGGCAGGGACTCGATTTTTCTAAAGCTCGACTCTCGAGTTGGTTCTCACACTGCCTTCAGATTTCGAGTTTGAAGATTCAACGGTTACGTGAAGCATAACGACAGTGTATACCCACACCGACTTTTTACGTAAAAAGAAAAGTCACCAGAACAAATGTTCATCCTAATTGTTGTACTCATAACCGACACAAGAGAGCTTTTTTTTAAAAGAAGTTGTGAGTGTATATTATTACCCTACGCAATCTAGTCGAGTGTACTCGGGAATCGCTGTCCTCTTGAATCCGCGTACTTAGATAAGTACACGCGAACCTGGAATCGCGTCGGTAAGAGCCAAGTTGCTCGAGTGGCATTCGTCGGCGGCTCAAGTGGGGCTCGAAAGCGCTTGTCGCCACAAGAGCGCGTACTCATAGTGTGTCATCGTCGTCGAGTGGCCGGTGATGATGTTGTTGCCGGTATTGTGAGTACATAGGTACTTGTGTCAGCCTTCCCAATCAAACGGATAGGTACTATTGGCTCTACCGACGTATCGCGCCGTTACATCTCTCCTCGACAACGCGTATACGTATATCCGTTACAACCAAAGCTGTTGAAAAAAAAAAAAAAAAAAAAAAAAACACCCAATGCCACGGTGAAAGAATCGAGCGCCCACGCAGTGATTCACCGGCTCGCGATGCGCCAAGACAGCTCGGCTGCACCGGAAGACCGGAATTCAAGAATGTCCCCTTCCGAGAAAAATCGCACCGTTCGATATTGCCATTCAGAGTCGGACACACGCGCGCGCACATATAATGGCACACGAGATCTCCAAGCGAGGATATACAGGTATATATTTATGTATACAGAAGAAAGAAAAAGAGAGGAAGGAAGGAAGGAAGGAAGGAAGGCCGAGGGTTTTTGTCACCTAGACTGACCGGCACGGAAGTGAGGAAAGAATGCACCCTTCGGCCGAAAGGTGAATGGAAATGAGATGTATGGGCGTGGGTGCACTGCACCAGCTACGGCACAAGAAAACCCAACTATCTGTTTTGGGGAACTACCTTTGTAAAAATACAGCATATCATACGTAAAAAAAAAAAAAAAAAAAAAAAAAGTGAAGGAAGCGATATGGCTACCGAGTATACGTGTATACTTACACGAGCTGCACTCGGGGAGGGTGAAACTATGTGTACGGGAGAGTGCGTGTAAAGGTATCCGGCTAATCCCTTCGGCCCTACGGGAAAATCAAACAGCTCCTCTCCTTCCGAAGAAGAAAAACACACGAGTGAAAAGCTCACTAGAGTCCTTTGCGTGTATATATATATATATATATATATATATATGTATGCAAGAACCAATCGATCGCAAACAAGTAAAAACTCATCACCGAAGCGCTTATCAATTACTTGGTCCATTCCTCCGTTTTGCCCGCGATCCCTCTCGCTTGCTTCTACGGAAAAGCCGTACGATTTTGTGACGCCGTCACGGGTTCTCTCGACTCGCGATCAAACGAACGCCCGACCAAAGATGATGCGTGCACATCGCGCTCCCAAAGCCCGATCCTTTGATAATTGAAACTACTGGATCTACAGCTACAGCTTGGGTGACAGCAAAATACCCTCCACCCCGACAACAAAGAAGGATTATTGTTGTCCCTTACCTAGTGTTGAGCGCAAACTGGCTGTACCAGACGTGGCTGAGAAAGCTAGCCGGATACGGGAGGAAGGACCACGGCAGGATCTTGTTCTTGTCCGCCATGGCTGCTACGACTGCGACAACTGGTACGGAAGAGCCGAGGGACGCTTCGTTATGGCACGCTATCAACCCCCTGGCAATTAACTACTTGTCTTCCTTGCACATGACACTGTATTCCATGTGTGTATATGTATATGTATGTATGTATAGCACTAACAAGGCACTCGTCAATATCCGACTGTACGCGTACGCGACACACTTGTACTCCGCACTTTGTGACAAAATTCACCGGGGCCGTGTCTACGTGTGCCGTTACAGTATAGAACACGGGATAAAAGTACGGTGGGCAGGGGCGAGAGAGAGAGAGAGAGGGGCCACTCGAGAGAGCCCCGCGCGCGCCCGTAAACGTATCTGGAGTGTCCGTCCTCGACGAGTACTTGACAGCCAGTGGACTCGACCGGCGGCCCTTGCCTCTCTCCCTCTCGAGCCGGCCCTCGAAGCTCGTAGGAGGCTACTCCAACGGGGATGGGGGCGGCTCCGCAAGGGCGGTCCTTCGGGGTCTATCCCCCCCCTTTACGCGCAACCCCCTCTTTCGTTTTTCCTCTTCCTCGCCCCTTCCTTTCATACACGTATGTATGGCACCGATGGAGAGGAGCTTTGCGCGCTCGGGGTTGATATGGGTTACACTTTTGGGTTGGGTTTCAAAAACGTCGCACACATACGAATCGCGGGGTACTTTTTTTTTTTTTTTTCAGTCCTCCACGACAATGATCGCACCGTACCTTCCCGTGGACCGGTGATACGGGGCGCGCACCCATCTTCGATGCGCTTGCGCCAGGTCCGCCCCCGCGTGCTCTCGTCGCGCGTCTGCCACCACGTACTGTTCGACTACTAGGTCATACTTGTGATGCGCTCACCTGAACATTATACGTGTGCCCCATTGGTTGCGCGCGGGTAAGTGGTATTATATACATGTACTTTGAAATGATGATGATGATGATGATGATGATCGTGAGCTGTTTTTTGTCTCGGTAACTATATGTGCCGGGCTACAGTTTACGACTCCTTGGGCTAGCGAGTCGGGTGAACGTGGAGCCGAACGAAGGAAGAAAAACCGACCTCGTTTTGTTGGCTATATCAATAAATAGTGCGGGTCTTTGCTTGTACGCGCGACTTTTCACGATGAACAACTCACGTCGTGTGTACAGTGACCAAACCAAGGGTGTACGAAAAAAATAGCTTCGTGCACACCTTCCATCTTTGTGTGTGTTCGTGCACTCATACAACGACAATTAAGAGCAAGAGAGAGACACACGGTCGGGCGTGAACAATCGTTTATTTTGATAAGTTCGCGCGGAGCAAAGGGTGAGAGAAAAAAATAAAAAGAGGGAGAGGTATAGGTACAATGTACGACACGGGCTCGAGGAGCGGCTTATCCGGGGGGTAGGTATCGTTTTCCTACCCGGGGGCTCATCTGTTTACTTTCGCATTGTGATCGTACGAAAGGCTCGGATCGCGCGTCCGTCCAAAGTCAATCCAAAACTCACCCCCCCCCCTTTTTTTTCTATTTTACATTCAGTAAAACACGTGAGCCGTAAGATGCGCCAGGGACACGTTTTCAATTGTAACAAAGTCGTGAAAAGAAATGAGGAAAAAATAAAAACACATCTGCTTCGTGGGGTATGTGGAGGGTGAAAATTATGTCAACGAAGTAAAAAAAAAAAAAAAAAAAAATAACGGCTGGATCGTTCCGGCACTCGTAATCGTGGGTATATTCTCGATTACAACGTATGGGTACTCTGCCACGGGAGGCCAACCCCCGCGTTAGAATCAACGGTGTGGTTGAACGAACCTTGGAAAATTTTAATTTTTTCACAACTCCCTTGGCTGCAATCTCGTAAAGGGCGAAGCGTATATGCACGTGTAGGTGTATATATACAGAGCAGGTAAGTTAAGCGCAAGGAAATCCAAAAAAGTAGCCCACGAGTAGGAAACGCTCATGGCGCACTCGTGGAGAGGCTCGGGCGCAAAAGGTACGACCCGAAAGCCCCGCCCTTCCTCCAGAGGTGGGGCCGTTTCAGCCCCTCGAGCGAGAAACCAACAGCGAGCCGGGGTTGTCGAGGCGTCGGCCAATCGCGCGGCTCCATCGATCTCGAGGCTCGTAAAGGAGGGGGAACTGGTTGTTGCGCGGTATATGTATGTATAGAGAAGCGTCGTGTCCTACACACCCCCGGGAGCGCACTTTATTAAGGTGGCAGGCGCGCTAATGCGCCAGGACATTAGCGCTGGCTTTTACCCCGTGTCACTCTCTCTCAGGGGTTGTATTGGCTTGTACACCTATACGGATTGGAATGTTTTCTCTTCCTTCTCTATTGCAAGCTTTTTTTTTTTTCATACAAAAATTAGAAAAAGGACACTAAAAGCTTGGATATTATATTTAAAGTGCTCGCGTCAAAGATCAATCGTGTTTCAAGCGGTAAAAACTCGTCTTGTCCCATCGACCGCGTAGTTGAGCCGATGCGTATCTAAATAATTTCGATTACTTGAAAATATATACGCGTATATATTTTTACGGCACTCGATGACGATAACAAAAAAAAAAGTGCGTACGAGCGCGCGCTGTAGATTTTATCTAATCGAGAGTACAAAGAAGATGGAGAAGAAAAAAAAAAAAAAAAAAAGAGGCCAACGCGGTTGGAGCTGCTCCGATCGGTGCGCCAGATATGGCTGATTACTCGGAATCGCCGCACGGGCAAACAATGATAATGATTGTTGCTCTACTTTCGGAAAAAAAGCGTATACGTATGGTCGAGCCAACTCTGTCCTGTACGGAGTTTTGCCCCACCTGATGGGAACCAATATAATATGAGCTACAGCTTTTGTAACGTGTGGACACGTTTGGTTCGATGGTGGAAGGGAGGGAAAAAATAAACCATGCCATTTTAACTATTTATTATCAACAAAACACGTTCAAAAAGCTCACTTCCTCCGTAACTCCGTGCAAGAGGGAGAGAGAGCCCTAACAATAATAACGCAAGGTATACACGGGGTATATAAGTATATATATACACTCGATCGAACGTGTCGGCGAAAAAAGGCCACATAAGTCCATTAGTCGCGCTTATTATCCAAATATCCGGGTGTGCGTCAGCTACCGAAAAAGGACCCAACACACACGCTACGAGAAAAGAAAATGCGGAGCGCGCGCGTAAGACCAGAAGAAGGAAAAGTCAAGCTCGATAGGTGTGGTCCCATGTGACATTAATGGCCATTACTGGAGCCACCTCGAGTGCCCTATACACAGCGTCTGCGTATATGTATACATACGTATACAGTGAAAGAGAACAGGTAGGTATACACAATATGTATATAGTATATAGTAGCTACCGTGTGCAACGATTTCCGGTTCATTCATGCGCAGGTATAGGTACTCTGCTCTTCTTTCGACTTTTAGCCTTTTTCTGCTTCTTCTTCTTCTTCTTCTTCTTCTTTTCTATTCATCTATTTTTCTCAAGAGAAGGAGAGAGAGTCGGATCCAAGGGGCTGAGGGATACGGAAGAGGGCGGAGGAGGAGAGGACGCGGAACTTTACCTTTTTTTTTTTTTTTTCTCAGGCTCGGAAAATTTGGTCCCGTAGCTGTGCCCTTTTTTTCCCATCTCTCGAGGTGCTTGATTTATCGGTGTAATGCGTACACGTATGCCTTTGCTTCGGTTTTTCGGAGGGGTACGGAAATTGCCGAGGGGGTTAACTCGAGAAGCAGTCGAGGATGGAAAGAAAGCGGACAAAGTGGAGTATATATATATGGGTGGATCTGGAGTTGGGTCGTGGGGACGTTGTTTGGGGGTTGATTTAGGGGCTCCTGGGGATTACCGGGCTTTATATAGGTTTTTTCGATCAAAGTGGAAAAATCGAGGAATCTTTTATTTTTCTGAAGCCCAACAAGCAAATAAGAGTCGAGTCTTTGGACGGTCGCTTAATAGCCAGAGACATTGAACTTGTTTCTCTTTCTTCGGTTGGCCATTATACTCACAATTATTGTAGAGGGTGTAAAAGGCTCGATACTAAAATAGTCAAATAATATTTCTAGTGTGAGTGACATTCTTCATTTCATTACTTGGCTTTTTAGAAACAAGATATTCCTGATGTGAAATTTAACATATAATTTAAGTGCACTTGCGGCGGAATATATACGTTGTTAATTCGGGCGTCATTGTGTTGCCACACTGAGAGAAAAAAAAGAATTAAAAATTATAGAGAAACTCCAGCAAAAATTACCATTCCGCACAGTAAATCGCATGCAAGGGGGCAAAAAAGGAAAAAGTTCTTATTTTCAACAGTTAAAGTTATGGTTTGAAAAGTAAAAAATATGGTTAGCATAGTAAAAATTACTATGCGGGAAAGTGAAATTATTTATTAATCGATCCTTTTAAGGTTTACTGTTCCAGCATTGTAGTTCTGACCATAATTCCGCAACTATTCAAACTACAACTTTTACTGTTAATACAATAATAATTTACTGTTAAAAATAATAATTTCTTCCTTATTTGCCAACTTGCATTCAATTTATTGTGCGGAGTGGTAATTTTTGTTGGAATTTCTCTATAATTTTTATTATTTTTTTCTCTTAGTGTACAATTAGTACATATTGTGAAAAGTAAACTTTAAGTACCACAGTATTCATCATCAGCAGCTACTTCGTCGTTGTGTATGAAAGATAATGTTTGAATGATACAAAACAATTTTTTTTTTTTTTTTAAACCTGAGTGACTTTTTTATGTTTCGTCCATTTTGTACTGGGGACATTATTTCTAGACAATGATAGCCGGTGAGGTGCACAACAACCGGATTGCCAGTCCTAAACAATGCAATCCCATATTTTTATTATCATCCGGAGCTCTGCTTCATAAAACAAAAAAAAACAAAAAAAAAAAAAGGTACACATCAGCTACAAATCAAGAAATTTCCATCCGTCGGCGATTTCGTTCTCCATAAATCGGGCATATAATTCAATTTACCGCCTACAATACATGAAACACGAGGGAAAAAGAGACCATAATAACATAATCCATTTACTGCGAAGCTGCTGTCGCAAAAATTCTCATATACTGCCGGTTGTCACGACTCGCGGCTCTTAAACAGAGACGCCCCGCGTGCACCTTTGAAATAAGACCCGACAGGGAGAAGGAAATGAAAGAAAAAAAAAAAAAAAAANAGTAGGAATTTTTACTTTTTCTTTACTATACTAAAACTTTTAAAGCAAAAGAAAAACAATTTTTTATTCTTTCTCTTCTCTCCCTCGTTAAGCAAATGTTTTTTAACGCGGCAATACACTTTTTCTCGCTCGACAAATTAAGCGGAAAGTTAATTTATATTTCGTAACTATTTTTTTTTTTTATTACTTTAACAAACGTTATAAACTTAAAAACTCGCACTATGGCTTTTTTTTAGTTTATTTATACAAGAGCACTTTTTTGAGACGGCACAAGTTGCGTATTGTTTTGAGTACATGTATTTTTTACTCTCCAGCATTTCGATTTCCAAGAAAGAGTGTTTTTCATGCGCCCTTTCGAGCGTAGTCTTTACCGTCATCACCTGGGCTCGAAAAATCGATTTTTCCTTCTTTTCTCAAACTACATTTAAAGAGCACATTATCTTCTTATTTCCCAAAATTCCATTAAATTTTTTTTTCTTTTTTCAACTAGTTCTAGTCTTACACGCAGAAGCTTTTTTAAATTTTTGCCATTACCATAGTAAAATATTTATCTCGAGACAGAAAAACAACAAATATTCGTAATTGCATAAATTTCCAACGACATTCAAATACAAATTCAAAGTTAACGTGGAAAAATTACATTATTCCGTCATTACTTTTGTTTTTCGAGCCCTACAAACTAAAAATAACACGTATCCGTCGTTTAAAACTTCATTTTCTGCATGTACAAGCCTAAATTGACGGTAGTTATATTTTTGCGCTGTATATTTTTCTCTTAAATTTTTTATTTTTTCATATCGTAATTTTTTTTAGTCGAAAATAAGTAACACTTATCTTAGGCTTTGCATTGGTATTCGTATAGTACACATATAATATTATAATGCAAATTTCACGTTACTTTTATATCTCATTACGTTTCTGGATTGTTTTTTGCCATCCACCACTAAGATTAATAATTACACAATAACGTGACAAAAATTGTTTAAATTACTTTGTTAAAATTAAAAAATACTGATTCATCACGAATGAGCTCAAATTTTGATATTTTCTATTCTCCTATTTTTTCTGACATTTTTCAAAAACAAAATTAATTTATTTAAACTTTTTAAATCGTACGTACAAATTGATTGTACAAATACTTGCGTCGCGATATAAAATCCAAACAAATATTTTACTGTCGTCAATAATTTTTATAAATTATTTATATTCTTATGATTACACCATACTTATTTTACACACTACAATTATTTACAAAAATTTTTTTTTACTACACTAAGCAATTCATAAGTACAATTACGTACAAGTCAAAAATTTGCAATTTATCTAAAATTCAAGGCTCACCTGTCCCATGTATAAATCAAGTTTATACTCTGCTTTGGTTTGAATCAGGGCGTTTATACATGTATATATTTTTTCATCAATACAAAATCAATATCATTAATTTATGTAACAAATACTTTCAAGGTTCTTTTTTATTTTGATTACTACTTTTTTTTTTTTTTTTTTTTTTTTTTTTTTTTTTTTCTTTTTCTTCTTTTTCACACTAGAAAATAAATGATAGCTCCGAGGCCCCGAAATACCCCATCGATTGGCAACTGCAGTACACTGTTTCACCCCGAGACTTTTGACGTAAATGTATACATTGTATACATAATCCCATGTAATTGGACGACGATGGGCGATGGACACGATGATTGCACCCATCATGTAGTGAGTGGCAATGTAATATATCGCAGGTAGCGCGAGGTTTGATTGTGCACTTTAGCATATAAGGGCGGCAGGTGCAAAAGGGGGCGATGAGCATGAACGTACAATATACGTTTTTAAAAAACCTCTATATCCACATGGTGCGGTGTAATATATGTATACATGTATATATACCATCCGTGCACATGCGGGGGGTGCGTGCGATCGCTCGGCATTTACGGTACGAGGGAAGATCGTAATTGCGATAATTAATCATTTACGGATATGTGTGTGTGTGTGTTTTGGGCTGGGTGTAGCGGAGAGATTTTTCGGGGGAGTTGTTGGGAAGTAAAGTCTGTGGGTTTTTGGGTGGTTGGAAAGAAAAATAAAAAAAAAGAAAAAATCTCGAAATGTGGGCAAAAAAAATGGCATCACGTACATGTATAGCTCGGCTGGATTTATATCGGTGATGTAAAAATTATTGTGTAATCCGGGCGAGGAAGGGAGGGAGGGAAAAATGTAATCGCGATACCGATCGCGCGAGCGCGAATAAAAGTGCATTTTTGCCTTACGTAAAAAATCAGTACTTGTAACGAGGTGCCGGCTACGTAATCGAACGTGAGAGGGAGGAAAGTAGGCTTATATTATTAACAATCGAATCTGCTGTGCATATCATCATCGCGATCTGCGACTGTATCTCGTTGGGTCGCGTTTGTTTTCTTGTTGATATACGTATATACCCGCGTTGGTTGCGTAACACCTGATTTCACGCTCGTTGATAGTTGCTTTGATTTATACTTACATACAATTTGCGATGGGAAGTTCAACGTGTTTGGTTGTGAAGTTTTTATTTTTCTATTTTTTTTCCTTTTTACCTTACAGATAAAGTATTACGAAATATATTTTGTGGCACTTATAAACCATTCATAGTTTCTTTTTTTTTTATCGAAAATTTATTTTTTCGGTGTACCTTAATTTTTTTTTTTAATTCCTTTACATGCACTGGTTGTGGAAGGTCAAACGTTTTTCGAGTATTTATAAATTGGTTCGTTTAAATGTTAACTGTAGCTCATTATTTTATTATTATACGTTAATATCCCGTACTGTTGAGGAAAAGTACATTTTTGGTAGTTTGTGGATTTACCATTGATGTATTAATCGATAATATACTATGCTTAGAAATAAAAAGTAACCAAAACATTCTAAATTAAACATTCAGCGCCATCTTACATCAAAGTAAGAACTACACGTGGTGTTTAGTTATCGACTGCGAGTCGAGAAGGTAGCTACGAAATTAACTAATGGTAGCGTTTATTACATAAAATTATATAAATTATTATTCAAGTGGATTACTATAAATATGTGTTGTTATTTCGTTCCTAACCTATACCTATAAAATTTGGTGTTTAGAAATATTAGATAAAATTCAGCGTATGTTATAGATACGCTACAAAACAATAACAATCATCAAAAAACCATTAACACACGTGAAAGATAACAAAAATATGATTAATTATTTTCTACGATTTAGTGTATACTTAATTACGTTGACCCTAAACGATACGAAACAGCTGCTGATTAGATTTATCACCTAAACAACTGTAATGTAAACAAATGATCTATAGCGGCTGATATATATGCGCATGTATATATAGTATCGTCGTCTGCTCGCTTACAAAATAAAATAACTATATATCGTCTGTAATGTATATAAATCGGATACTGTGATAATTATACATATTAAATCGTTGATAGGTTGATTGATATACACGCAATAATACGCAAGTGATAAAATAAATAGGATTGGCCAGCCCATACACGTGTATACCTATATTAATCGTCGACGTGTCTATAGACAGCTGTCTACATCGCACACACACGTATATATATATATAGGTGTACACATGATAGGGGATAGGGGAGCAACAAAACTTACAAAACAACTGTCCGCGCACAAGCGCTCTGCGTTTTTCATCGCGACAGCCGTAGCAGACGTTAGTATTCTACGGTTGTGGATTGTGGGTGGATGACAAACGGCTGTGTGTACATAGATATCGCGAAAACATTGGCCGCTGACAAATGGCGTCGAGCAAGGATGACGGGATCGAGGAAAAAATCGCCGAGCTGTCGGTCGAGCCAGCGAACACGAGCAAAGACGTGGCCGGGAAGCCGGAGCCCACCAGCGTCTTCGGGCCACACCTGTCCGGCTTCGAGACGTCCGAACTCTACAAGCTGGCCCTCAATTTTTACAAAGGTTGGTTATTGTAACTACACACTTGTATACTTACGTTTTATTTATTGTGCTTTGTTGCTTCTCCACTTGGCAGGTGTACGTACATTATTTCAGCTGTGAACGCGACACGTAAAAATAAAATTAGTAGTGTGCCATAGTTATCTTATGTACAGCATGTTTCTGTACGATTCCATCAGGGACTCGTCTGGATTAATTATTAATCGACTTTATAAGCCGCGTGTGATCGATCGGCCGAGGTCGGCGTCTTTTCCAGCAACGACTTGCTACAACTTTCTCCTTGCTTTTCCTTTTTTTTTTTTCTACATTATACACTTTGTTTTCAAGTAGAAATTGGAGTTTTTATCCGATTTAAAATAATGAAAAATTGATTCTCAGCTCAAAAGTTTTAGAATCGAGTCGTTTTTTCTCTCCCTTGGAGCTTTTGTTTACACTTTGATTGAGTGCAGGAAAAAGTTAGGCAAGCAAAGTTTGGACTTGGCAGAATTTATCGCGCTCGTAAAATGATTCGATTGGACGCTTTTACATGAATTTGGCTTTTGCGTTTCGCGAATCAACAATGTCCAAACAAAGTTCGTTTTATCAGTACTAATTGCGATTGAGTATTATGATGTAAGAGTATTATTAACAAAGCCATGGGATACTGCAAGCCTAATCAAATGAAAATAACATACAAAGAGGTTTACTTGATCCATTTTTTTTTTTTTTTTTGCAGAAAAAGAAGGCAAGGCAGTCCACCTCTCGTATGAAGAGAAGATGAAGCTAGTGGCCTTCACGCAGCAAGTGTCCCATGGCAAGTACAGTCCAGAAAAGTCGCCTGAGCTTGGTGTCCTGGACGTGATCGGTCGGGATAGAAAGGCAGCATGGCAAGGCTTGGGTGACTTGTCCAAGAATCAGGCCATGGAAGGCTTTGTGCTTCTTCTGGACGATCTCTGTCCGTTGTTCAGAACCTTTGTGGAGGCCCACAAGCGGGACATCGAGGAGAAGGCACGACTCAAGAAGGAAGAAGAGCTGCGGGCCATCGAGGAGGAAAAGAAACAGAGGAAGGCCGAGCTGGCGAAGAAGAAGGAGCAGGAAGAACGACAAAAAGAGGCATACCAGCGCAGGCAGATTCAGGATGCACTGAATCAGCAGACGTACTATCAGTTCAAGGCCTACGCGGAACAGCAGTACCCAGGCAATCCGGAACAGCAAGGTGTGCTTATCAGGCAACTGCAGGAGCAGCATTATCATCAGTACATGCAGCAGTTGCACAAAAATCAGTCGCTCATCGAAGAGAAGGAGATCTTTGACAAAAAGGACATAAAGGACAGCGATCTTATCCTTGGGGTTGGTAATGGCAATGAGATCGTGTCTCTGGTATCGAATGAGAATCCAGTGACGAACAATGACGAGGAGGAAGAAAACGATCAGGAAGACGAAGTGGAGGAGGAGGAGCAACCAGTAAGTAGAACATGCTAACATGATAACCAACTTTTATTTCATACTTGTATGATGTTTGATCACAGGATGTTCCGGTGATAGTACCAGCTGAGATGTGGACGAACAAGGATATAAAACAATTCAAGGAGACGATCAAACGCGAAGCCGCAGACGCGGTGCTCAAAGTTGGTCACGGCGAGACGGTGACTGTACGAGTGCCGACTCACAAAGATGGCTCGTATCTGTTTTGGGAGTTTGCGACGGATGACTATGATATTGGTTTTGGGGTGTATTTCGAGTGGACTACGCCAAAAACGACGCAGGTGTCGGTGCATATCAGTGAGGACGAAGACGACGATGAGGATGAGGAAGATTATGAAACCAGGGAGGATTTGGAGTGTGGAAGCTCGACTGAAGGGAAACCGGATTTCAAGCCGAGCGCTGTACCTATCAGCGTCATCATTCCAGTGAGTTGGATGAATATTGCATAAAAATGATTGATTTTCATTCTGTCATAATGGGTACTTGACTATTGAGTTTTTTCTTGTTTTTCTTTTAGATTTATAGGAGAGATTCGCAAGAGGAGGTGTACGCAGGTAGTCATCAGTATCCTGGACAGGTGAGTTGTTTTGCTTGTGTAAGCATAAGAATTGGTCGTTGCAGAGATGTACTGATAAAAATGATTTATTTTGCTTGCAGGGTATTTATTTACTGAAATTCGATAATTCATACTCGCTCTGGCGGAGCAAAAAACTCTACTACAGAGTTTACTATACAAAGGCGGATAATAAAACAGAGTAACGCTGCCGATGGTGGTTTATTAAAAGACGATTAATGTTATTTTTAATGAATAATTGAATGTTGGAACACGAGAGCCATCGACGCGCTGGTTTTACAACGCTGTTAAATGCTAGTCCATTAAAATAAACAATAAAAATTGAGAACACTCGACAACTATTTTCATGCAAGGAGAGCGCGTCCTCTTTTCAATTAACAAAACGTAGCTGAAGGAAAACACTGAAAGGAAAAATTTATATATTTGTTGAAATGAACGTCTAGGATATACTTTTTTTTATCTTACCGTCAAGATGGATAGAGTTAATTCTCAATGTTTCTTACCCGCGTGATTACGTATACATGTATGAGTGTGTAAAATAACAGTCTAAGGGTAGTGAGTAGCGAGAGTATGAGCCGTGAGGGTGCGATCAAAATTCATACTTACGCACGAGCGCACGCATGTGTAAAAATTTGTGTAAGTCGTAAGTATACTGCAGTAGATGTACAAATGAAAATTGTGACGCACATTGTCATGTGCGCACTTTTGCACATAAATTATTTTCGGAACGTTAATGTAAGATGTAAATGCTCTGATTGTCATGTGTTTTTGTTGTTTTTTAATATTGTTTCCAAGTTTTTAATCATACTTTATACAACTCGATTAATAAACTTTTTTTTTATAAATGTTTTATCAGGAATAGTTAAATGTGTGCTAACTATGTATGTCATGAAGTGGAACACAAGTTAACACAGAATATGCACGATGTGTATATTATGTAAAATCGAAAATTCAAACAGAGTCCTCGAAATCAAAATTTAAGTAAATCAGTGTTGGTTGAAAGATTTCGAATGTCATTTTATGCATACCTTAATAATGTGTTCAATAACAATTTTTTACGGGCTCTTTTTGGAAGCTTTTTCAAGACTTGAGGGCATTTGCAAATCCTCCAAATTGCGCTGATTTACATTCGTAATTCCTTGAAGGAATAAAAAAAGTCGATACGGCAATATATAAGCATAATCTATTTTTTCAATCAGAGACAGTAATCGACTCGAGAGGGTAGATTAAAAACCGCTATTTCCCGATTCCCCACGCAAGCGTCTTGATTAAGAGTATCGATGTATTTTCTAAGGACCGTCGTACTAACTTAATATTTTGTTTTTAATTATTAATGAACTTCAAAATTTGTGAAAGCGAATAATGTACTGAAATTTATTTATCGTAACATTTGTTCGGAATAAAAATACAATTAAACGAGTTGGCGTTTTATAACATTTATTGAAATACGATAACCATATTTTTGTTATACAGCAACGTTTGATGCGCTCCATAGTAAGATTTAACAATAATAGTAATAATCAAATTATCACTAGTAGGAATTTTTACTTTTTCTTTACTATACTAAAACTTTTAAAGCAAAAGAAAAACAATTTTTTATTCTTTCTCTTCTCTCCCTCGTTAAGCAAATGTTTTTTAACGCGGCAATACACTTTTTCTCGCTCGACAAATTAAGCGGAAAGTTAATTTATATTTCGTAACTATTTTTTTTTTTTATTACTTTAACAAACGTTATAAACTTAAAAACTCGCACTATGGCTTTTTTTTAGTTTATTTATACAAGAGCACTTTTTTGAGACGGCACAAGTTGCGTATTGTTTTGAGTACATGTATTTTTTACTCTCCAGCATTTCGATTTCCAAGAAAGAGTGTTTTTCATGCGCCCTTTCGAGCGTAGTCTTTACCGTCATCACCTGGGCTCGAAAAATCGATTTTTCCTTCTTTTCTCAAACTACATTTAAAGAGCACATTATCTTCTTATTTCCCAAAATTCCATTAAATTTTTTTTTCTTTTTTCAACTAGTTCTAGTCTTACACGCAGAAGCTTTTTTAAATTTTTGCCATTACCATAGTAAAATATTTATCTCGAGACAGAAAAACAACAAATATTCGTAATTGCATAAATTTCCAACGACATTCAAATACAAATTCAAAGTTAACGTGGAAAAATTACATTATTCCGTCATTACTTTTGTTTTTCGAGCCCTACAAACTAAAAATAACACGTATCCGTCGTTTAAAACTTCATTTTCTGCATGTACAAGCCTAAATTGACGGTAGTTATATTTTTGCGCTGTATATTTTTCTCTTAAATTTTTTATTTTTTCATATCGTAATTTTTTTTAGTCGAAAATAAGTAACACTTATCTTAGGCTTTGCATTGGTATTCGTATAGTACACATATAATATTATAATGCAAATTTCACGTTACTTTTATATCTCATTACGTTTCTGGATTGTTTTTTGCCATCCACCACTAAGATTAATAATTACACAATAACGTGACAAAAATTGTTTAAATTACTTTGTTAAAATTAAAAAATACTGATTCATCACGAATGAGCTCAAATTTTGATATTTTCTATTCTCCTATTTTTTCTGACATTTTTCAAAAACAAAATTAATTTATTTAAACTTTTTAAATCGTACGTACAAATTGATTGTACAAATACTTGCGTCGCGATATAAAATCCAAACAAATATTTTACTGTCGTCAATAATTTTTATAAATTATTTATATTCTTATGATTACACCATACTTATTTTACACACTACAATTATTTACAAAAATTTTTTTTTACTACACTAAGCAATTCATAAGTACAATTACGTACAAGTCAAAAATTTGCAATTTATCTAAAATTCAAGGCTCACCTGTCCCATGTATAAATCAAGNTTTTTTTTTTTTTTTTTTTTTTTTTTTTTTTTTTTTTTTTTTTTTTTCTTGCGAAGCTTAAAAAATGGGAATATCGGCATATTTGGAAGTAACCGCAACGTGTAGACTTACTTCAATAAGGGCTACAACTAAGTGCACATAGGATCGATAAGCCGCAAATATACTTAGGTATACACGTATAGATATACTTACAGGGGGCGTTTAATTAAAGTTACTATTTGGCCGCGTCGAAATATTCCACATAGTCAGTACTTAGTAACATCGATCGAAGCACATATTTATAATCATCAAGCGACTCTCATATTTTATAACGTCATTTATTATTCATATACGTATGTTGGTATACTCCTTCTTCGCTGAGCCGTATTTTTTATTTTTCACTTATGTGAATTTTTATTTTGCAAGCCCTTGCAGGAGATTTGACACCGTTATTTTTTAGAAAAATAAATTACATATGAGATATACATGTATATATTAATTTAGAAATGTATGACTATTTGTATTAGGTAAGAAATGAACTTTTCATGGATATTTCAAGGCAAAGCAATGGTTTTACAATTTTTATTAGACTTTGAAAATTACTTAGGGCTTAAGACACCAAAAAAATTGAGCTATTTAGTATTCAATGTCATCTCACTTGAAAATATATCGAGTGTCATGACGATTGTTTTTTTAATGGTAGTAAAACTCACAATCCTAAATACCGTGCGATAATTCATCCTATATACGAAATAATAAAATTAATTTCTAATATTTTGTTTGGAATGCCATCGTTTTTATAACAAAATAATACTCTGGCAGACTTGGGCACTATAAATTTATGGATTTCTGAGCGCTATAAAAGAAAATTGTTTTTTTCGTAAGTAAAGAGTATTTTTTGCTGAAAGAATTTTCGATTCGTTACAAAAAAAAAAATTTTTTTTTTACTAAATACATTTCATACATACAATGGTATTGTAATGGCATTTGAAATCAAATATTCAAATACTTAGAATCCTTTTGTTCTAAGTTTTATTTATTTTTAAATTGTGATGCATTGTTTTTGCTGGAAAAATTTTTGTTAAGCTCTCTGTTGCAATTAAAAAAAAAAATTTTAGCATGCACAATGCATGAAATTTTATAGCAAAAAATTATCTTGAAAAAAAATTGCAAAATTATTCGTGTCCAAGTCTGTACTCAGAGAATCAAATAAATGGCCAGACAACTATTGCATCAAGTGTACCTTGAGTGTCAAAATAACTACGCGATAATCGATAATGTCGAATTGTGTCACTCAGTAGATAAGCAAACAATTTTTTCTTTTATCTTCGAAGCAATAGTATTTGTTAATTCACAAAAAAATTAACGTTTCAATTCATTTTTCCCCATGTATTCTTTGAATTATTCAATGTTTTAAATTTTCACAGCCGTTTTTATATCAATTCTGTCAAAAAAGCAAAAATCAGCGCTTTGTATGTATTATTATAATTATTGTATACAAAAACAATCGATGCACATTTATTCGGTGATTAAATTATGTAATTATAGCGTAATCACACGTACACATTTTCTTCAAACAAACTTTTATTGAATTAGCTTACGAAGACATTGAAACACGCTCGAGAGGTCAAGTACGCTTTTAATCTACCGATTTACGAGGAATGTTTTTTTTTTTATTTCTTCACACATTCATTGCACATGGTGTCGTGGTTATCGATTTAATTGAATACTATATAGCAGTGTAAGAGAGCCTCTTTGTAGCCTATATGTATGGAGTTCGAGGTGACTGTATTTATGTCACCGTAGAAGTAACGAAAATTAATTTTTTATCGATTGCTGATTCTCAAGTGTTTGACGCATCACGTTTACATTAATTTTTTAACATCACCTCCCTTTCAGCTCATTCAATGTAAAAAAAAATAACTTATTTGCTAAAACCTCCGAACGTTACTGCGACAAGTTACGGTTTTAAATTTATAAATTTATTTTGTGCACTTCCCCCTCCCTTCATTATTTTATGGTAATACAAACGACTACTGTCGAGCGCTAGTTTTTTTTGTTAAACAAAGGAATCCCGCGTTTATTGAAAAATCGCGTTTGTGCGGTTCGCACCCTCCGAGTATGAATTTTTTCACTATACGAATAATAACGAAACACGCGAAAGTACTTGTCAAAAAATACAAAAATGCTTGAAGCGCAACTTCGACACTCTCACGCATTTTTTTTTTTTTTTTACATTAGTACAAAAAATCGTTTGCACTGTAAAAATGACGTATCTGCTTGAAGTGTAAAAACATTCATTGCGTTGTGTCGTGCGTTTATTCGTTTAAGCAAAAAGCTCGAGAAATTTGTAACGAGAGCTGATGCGTTTATTGGGATGAATCAAAAAACAACAATGAACACTTTGGTAAAAAACATTTATCACACTGTCGCCTTTCGGACGACGTTTATCTCAAAAACGCTTTATGCGAGATTTACATTTTTTTCATATTGAGTAAGGGTTTTTCCTTTATATTTTACTTATTGCAACAGCACAAATGGACCGTACATGATTAGTGACTTTTTGCTTGACAAAATTGTTACCCACATGTGGAATTATATAAAGGAAACGCTCTTAAATGTAGTTTTACAATGTCTCAGCGTTGAGAAACTTTTCTTCCTTTTTTTTTTCTTTAAGGCAGATATCTGATGCCAAAACGAAATCTCGATTGCTAAGTAAAAACTATAAGCTCGCAATTACCAAAAAACCTCCAACTTTTTCCTTTAAACAACAAATTTTATCTACAGCTTACAATCATTTTTCGTTTTGCAAAAAAACTAGACAAACCCCGCAAGAACAGAGATTTAAGAGAAATCTCGTATAGCCATAGTTTATGTCATCCTCGATCACATTGAAAAGTTACACGAAAATCTTATTCACATCCATACATAGACAATAAAAGGCTCAACATTGAAAAATCATTTGAAGGATAAACTGTGCCTTGTTATACGCTCGACGGACATGTAAATCACGAGCCCTTTCCCTATACACGTACAAGTCAAGATACACCTACAATAGATTAGTTAACCAAGTTCCAAAATGTCCGTCAAGCGTACGAATTTCCTCCACATCTTGTCAAGATTTTCTTCACAACGAAGTTTCGATGTTGACGTTGGCGCGCTTAACTCCCGCGATTCGCATGCCGGTGTCCATCCTCTCCGTGAAGCTCTTTCGCAGATTCCGATCGCGGCGTCGCGAATCCTTCCGCCTCTCGGTCAACGATCTCGTCAACCGCGATCTCGTCCTCTCCTATTTCGGAACGTCTCATATCAACCGACAAGGCAGACTTTACTTTCAGACCAAATTTCTCACCCCAACGTCGCCACTGCATCCAGCGACCGCGTCGTCGCCTGCACGGCTGCGCTCATCGGCCGTACTGGACCGACCGGGTGTGCCGCGCGAGTCGGGCGGCATGGTTACACCGTCGTACGAGGGTATGGAGATCGCCGTCTCGACGCACCTGCCCAACGGGCCGGTCCTCGCGTCGTCCGAACTGCTGTGCAAATCACTCCGTCGGTTTTACCGATCCAACATGTGGGGACAAAAAAATTAAGTCCAACTCACCTGGACGACGCCAGTTGGGACTCGTTGCTGTTGGTCCGGCGCGACGACCCGTCGACTTTGGGGGCCGTTGTCGAGGTCGTGGTGCCATTAGCGTCCGTCGAGGTGGACGCGTCGCCGCGATCGGCGAACGAGCGCCGTATTCGGGACAGTGCGGGCAAGGTCACGGCCTCCTCGTACCTTGGGGGGTTCTCGGTGGAGGACACGCGGTGCCGGCCACCGAAAGGGTCCAGGGGGCAGATCTCTTGAATCGGGCTCGCGAATATTAGGGTCCTGCAACGGTGCATGACTATCCACTCGCTTGCACACGTGTATTCATATATGAGGAAATTCACAAAAAAAAAAAAATCATGTTTCGGTTCTCCAATTTGTGCAAAAATTGCGTAAGGAGTGCCTGCTTCTCAAAACTTACCATGTGCTACTAGGGTATTAAGGGTGTCATCTATTGTTTTCTTCACAGTACATGGCATTACGAGTAAAAGTGCGCCTCAAAAAAATCTTTTCTATCAAAATGGCATATTTTTTGTGGATTTCCTCATGTACGTGTCACGGTAGGTACATAAATAATTTTATGTTTAAATGGCGTGAAACGGGGATAAATTGTGCGCTAAAAGGTGTAAATATTATTTCGCGTATGATCGAACGGGTGACTTTTTTTTCACCAAGTAATTCGCTTCGTAAGTGACCGTGCCATTATTGTATATACCTGATATGAAAGCTCTCGTGTAGGGTATATTATACGTATATTATTGCACGGGTGTCGATCGTGACGACAATTTAGCGCACGCACGTCGAAATAACATCGAATTATCGTACAACGTTGAATATGTACCTCGAGGGGATGTATATATAACTCTGTGCTGCAGCTACACCCTAAGAGATCGTCGCTTTATGACTCGATGACACGCGAATACCTGTACTTATATATATAGGTTGCTACACTCTGTTTTTCATACATGTGCTTAGTCGCGAATAAAGTTGAAGGTTGGATGTTTCTCTTTTTTTTTTTTTTTTTTGTATTACTCGAAAGAGTGAAAGAGCACACAGGTGTGTGCGTAGGCATGCAATATTCCAAGCACTTCCGCGAACGAGATCTCAGCGTGGAAAACGTTTCCCGGTGGATTGAACATCCTTGAATTATTCAGGCGCCTTCGCGAAATACCGAGCGCGAAACTACGCGTTGTAGCCTCCGCTACACCTGTCCTCCGGAAAAAAATCTTTTTACGAGATGTATACCCTCGGGCATGCACGAACCTGGAATTGTCCCTCCTGTGGCCGAGGGACTGGCAGCTCATCCGCCTGTGGTGCTCGTTTATCCTGAGACTCGTCGGCCTGGCGCTCTCCGTCCTGCACCCATCGCAACGACACTCATCCTCCGTCCCTCCACCACCAGCAGCTTCTGTGCCGTAATAATCAGCGGTCCCGGCTAGGCTTTGTAGCTCCTCGGGCGTGACGAGGGTGAAGCGCCTCCTGTTCTGCTTGAGTATCGACTTTAGGCAAAAGTAGGCGCTCCGCGAGCCTGTGAGCTGATGCCGCTTGACCACGGGCTCCTCGGCCATCGGGTTGACCGTGACGCTTGCTATGCTGCAACTACTGCCACTCGTCAAGCTGATCGGGGTCTCGGGCTGCTGGAGGGGCGCCCGCTTTGGAATGGCCCCGGTACGGCTGGGGCACGGGGGGCACTCTGCCAACGAACGACAAAACGCTACAACATCCCCGAACCGATACACGTGTGTATATATATATACGTGTGGCTTACCCGTGGCCTCCTCGTTCTCGAGGATGTTCTCCAGGCTCCGGCGGTTGGCTCGCAAAAAGGCCAGGGCCACCTCGTTCAGCATCTCGGTGCTCCTGCGAAGGTCCGGCTCCGAGTAGTCCCGGACGATGGACCTGCTGCGCCTCTCCAGGATCGGCGCTCTCGGCTGCCTGAGCTCCCCGGGCTCGCTCGCCAAGCCCCGGCTCCTACGCTCCGAGGCGGCGTCGGTGCTCAAACAGTTGTCGCAGATACGCGCGTCCTGCCGAATGCTCGGACCACCACCACCACCACCCTGCGGGGGATTTAAAGAAAACAAAGAACAATCGGCAACGAGACTATATGGTGTGTATATTATATGATACACTTACCGGTCTGCTCGAGCCGTTGGTTGGGGCCTGGATGGTGTCGGCGAGGCCGTGGCAGGGACAGTCGCAGACGGAGCCGGTCCGGTGGTGGGGCGGTGCAGAGGAGGTCGGCTGGTGCTCGGCCGAGGCTCGCTCGTAGAGCAGGGCCTCCGAGTAGCTCGGCACCATGTTGGAGGGCTCGGTGGTGGTGGAGGAGGCTTGGTGATGGTTGGCCGCGGGTTCCATGAGGAGGGCCTCGCTGTAGCTCGGGGCCAGCATGTACGAGCCCGGGGCGCTCAGTTGGCTGGCCGACGTGTGGATCTGGATGTTGGTCGGGGTGTCGTAGCTCACGCCGAACAGCTTCGTTATCTGATCGGCATACAAGGGCGGGTTGTACACGATATGCGGTACACACACACACACACACACACACACACACGTAATGGGTGATGGTGATGGCTCACCTGGTAATCGACGTACTGGGTCTTGCACTCGATGATGATCCTGAGGGGCCAGCTGAGCAGGAGGGCGCTCAGGCACCAGTAGACGTACGACCGCGTGAACCAGGGATTGCCGAGCACGGCCACCAGGGTCATCGGCCCGAAGTTGCTGCACCCCAAATCTAGACCCTCGCGCATCTCCATGTAATCGTCTCGGAACTCCTACGCCCAAAGTTTGCCCACTATCACTAATTGTTATTGTCGTTGCATTGCCCACACTCATGCGTATGCGTGTGAGTATGCGAGCTAAGGTATATAGAAGGGGCTTGGTTTAAAAAAACAATCGACACCTGTTCGGCGAAAAAACGCGACCTGGCCTCCTCGAACTCCGTGGCGGACCTCACGTTCGAGAAGGCAAAGCCCTTCGACAGGTTGATCTTGGTTATCGGGATCTTTGGGTCCAGCAGGAGGTCCTTGCTTATGTCCTTCGAGCCGCAATAGTCGTAGAAGTAAAAGGAGGTGGCCGCGTTAGAGTTGACGCGCTCGTAGTACACCTGCATCAAGGGACATTGATTGCTTGCTATTATTATTATTATTACATCCCTTAGCTCCAGAGGAGTCACACTGAAAAACTAAAGAGATATTCGTTTAATTTTTTTTTTTTTGGGGGGGGGGTGTAAGTAAAGTAAAGCGACGCGTGCCAACTTTGACGCGAATCGATATATACATGTACACGTTTGTAAAGCCGTTGCATGCAAAAACGCACCAAGAGCCCTCCCCCCCTCCCTCAGATTGTGCCCTTCAAAAAGACTCCGAGCACGCGAGGGGTAAATTTTGTATCGCGACTTCGGCACAAATACACATGTATATATGTTATACCCACCACACACGTACTCGACCTTATTAATCAATGCCCATCTGGATGTAAAAAGCTTCTTCCCGAAAAAAATAAAAGAAAAGAAAGAAAGAAAGTACGAGTTGGTGCTGCCTTAAAAGCATCGCCCTGTGTACAAGCGAGAAAAAGGTTCTAGCGTTGAAAGTTAAGATCTCGAGCGAAATATGCGCGTGACGTGTACATGCATACACACACACACACACACACACACACACACACACACACACACACACATATATATATATNGGAATATAAAAAAAAAAAAAAATACAGACATTTAACGAATGAAGAAAGTTCCAAAAAATTTATTGATAACAGAGGCGTACAATATACCACACGGAGTCTTCATGTTCCTCGGGTACAGCGAAACTGACGAGAACTTGCTCAAACCCCACCACAACCTAACCGTCATAGATGCCGTGTCTTCCCTCGACAGTTTTATGAGAGAAGAAGTCAATAACCAGGTAATCACCACTACTCACTTCAGTACCATTTCGTGATATGTTTACTATACCATTTATTTCCTTTAAAACAAAAAAAAAAAAAAAAAACAAAAAAAAATGTTTATCTGTTTCCAAACAGACGATGTGCACAATCTTCCTGTACAACGTGACGAAGGAGAATGTCATCGCGGTCGCCCGGCTAATGACGGACGGCTCGTCCAGCAACAACGTCTCGCAAGCACAGAGCCTCAAGCATCTCCTACGCGTCAAGGTAAGTGATGCCTTACTTGTACTTATCCTCCATGTAGTCTGAGTTATGCAGAAAAAAATACGGCACTTCATTTTACAGTGAAAACTTCTCCAAACAAACTCTCATGATTTCAATAAGTGAAAATATATCACTAATTTTGTCGTGAAACAAAACCGCCATATCAATACCTTCATCGATACCAATTAAGAAAGAACTTTTTTTTTTAATTAAAAAACCTACACGTATCAACCTACACATAGCGATGAAATCAACCTCGAAATCCTGCGCTCGATGATAGTTAAAAAAAAAAAAAAAAAAAAAAAACGAATGAAACTAGGTGAGGACCAAATCGGGTACAGTTTCCACGTCTCTCGCAACAGTAATAATAATACCCGCGATAAAATCGACCCGAAGCCGCCAGGTGTACAGACACCGAATACGCGCATACGTATACGAACGACTGCGAACAACAGGGGAAGCGAGAGATCGAGCTGAAAAATATATCAGTACACGCTCGCAACGTTGTCCAGCTTCCGTCAGTTTTTTTTTTTTTTTTTTTTTTTTTTCCTTCAGAGTGATACCGATCGATTACTCTTATCCTCATTTTTTAGCTCCTCAATCTGATGGCTAAATTTTTTTTTTTTTTCTTTTTTTTTTTTGATGGTATTTTATTCGTCCACGTTATGTGGTGCATTCGTGCGCGTGTCCATTATTCTCCCGAAATTCTAGCTTTTTTGGACTTGTGGGCTCTCTGTGATTGGCACGAGCGCGTTTTCACATCGACTTACTAAAAATTTAAAAAAATTAAAAATATCTCCCCACGAACGTTGCAGTTGAAAAGGACGAAAAATCAAAGAAAAAATGTATATATGTATAGAAACATGCCACCGTGTCGGGACACTTTTTGCACCGCATCTGCCTTGCTAATTTGATTGCGACTTTTAAGTACTCCGAAGTTTCGTGCATCCCGTATAGTCCCGAATTAAAAACGTTTTTACGAGCAGAATCAATTTTTTTTTTCCACCCCTCGTCGTAGTTGCATTGTGCTCCAACATCCCTGACATTATTAATTTACGAAACCACGTGAATAAAAATGACCCGACTCGAGTGTGCAATTAGCCGTAGAAATAAAACGCATATCTATTATACATCAGATACAGTATGCAAAACTCGTTTTTATCTGTTTTTTTTGTTTCCTCTCTTTATACTCGATTAATTTCTATAGCACAAAAAACACAGTACTAGTATACGTATACGTAGGACTGTATGCGTATACCTACGCACAAGTGGGCTATGGAAATAGTGATCGTGCAGTAGAGGCATGTATAGAAGCCAATTGACTGCAAAGCGATTCTGAAAATATTGGATGAAAGGGGGAGTAGTGCAGGGGCTGGCAAACAAGAACGAGAAAATTCATCAATTTACGAGCAGCCGACCGACGGCTGCATGTTTAAATATAAACTGTAGTTTTTTTTTTTTTTTTAGGGCAATTACTGTGTTGTACGTTTCGTGTGACGGTGTACCCACTACGGCAGGGTGTATCAATTTAAAATCCAAGAGTGCCGTTTTGAACGAATTGCACGGGCACGCGTTCGTGCACAGTCGAGTAAAGTTTTCATACGCCCAAATATTTGAAAAATAAAAAAAGAAAAATTTCTTACCAACGGTATTAAAATTTGTTAGGGACGATCCGTCTCTAGTAAAGAATATAAAAATCCGTCAAACAACCACGTGTCCTCACGCAAAGTAACGCATCGGTGGGGTATGCTAAGAAAAAAAAAAAAAAAAAAAAAAAAAAATCCATTACCTCGATCATTCAAACCTGACGTTATTTGCAATAATCCGCTCAAGGTCGTATCTGATTCCTCCATCTGTTCGAAAGGGACAATAACGTATCTATCATCCCCTCCCTAGCGATGAAAACACTCGCTCATATTCCACTAGGAGATAAAAAAATACTCCGATTCACTTGATTTTTCGGAAGAGACGGAAAAAAGAGAGAGAGAGAGAGAGAGAGAGAGATCGAACTTCAGCACCGAACAAATATGATATGAAACGGAAATTCGATAAACGTCCTTCATTGGCAACGGTCGAGCGAGTGTGTGCGCCTGACGTTAAAGTTACTCTACCACCAGCACACATATACCTACGTGTAAACGAAGGGAAAGCCAAAGAGACACCGAACGCTATGGCGCACACGCGAAATTGATCGAATAAAGGAACAAAGCGAGTGGGAGAGGGAAATTTGCTAAACAATAGATCGATCCTTTGTACTTACATATGTATATGTATAGTATACACTGCACCTGCAGGCAAGGTGATTCTCGCTGCACATGTGCGTTGACGCACCCACCCCCTTAATCCCTTATTATTCCTCTTGTTGTATGTTATACATACCCCTACTCTTTTTTTCCGGATTCGGGGAGGTACACGCACAGATTTTAATGGGCACTCAAGATTTTGTTTATTTTATAAAGGATATGCACGAGAAGATATTATATTCTTCCCTCGAGTTTTGTCGATTACGTAAGAGGGTGTACATATACATCAGCTGTACTGTAAATGGACCGACTACAATATAGTTATTGAGGGTTACGGGTCAACTAAGACGTTAGCCCATTCAGTGTAAAATAAGAGTATGATGGATAACATTTTTGTTACGCAATTGGGCTGTGGAATTTTATGAGGGTGAAAACAAAAATGTAATGGCCAAAATGGCACCACCAACGAGGATTGGAATCGTGTAGCAATGGAAACAACGAAATAATCAAATACGTCTCTATTGTTATAATTAGTTATTCAATCGAAGGGGTGTATCGAATCGAAGGGCTTGCATAATAATTAACGAAATCAATTTGGGCTGACCACGTAACGTAAAATATCCTTCGATGCCGATGTAGGATGTACAAAAAAAAAAAAAAACGTGATAATAGCATCAATCACACCGAGTTTACTCGTCTTTCCTCAACACAATTGAATTTTAGGGTCTACCGTACCTTGACCCTCGCCCTCTATGTTGTGTTTGCATTGCCACAACTACACTGATCCTCGTAAATATACAGTTTCACGAAATTTGACGGATTATGTGTACACACAGCATAAAGTACACGTAGGTAGGTGTAATTTCTAAACCGAGCCGGGCTAATCAAAGATAACGTTTTGTTGGTCCCACCCCCACCCCGTGACAATGAAAACCCAGTGCGTTTGTAAACACAAAAAGCATCGGGGGAAAGAGTAACAAACAAACCCGCGACAAAATTAATTGCCTCGAAGCGTAAGAGCGGCTTTGAGCTGTATTGAACTCACGACATACGCGGATTATCGAACGACCTACAGTCCAACAACACTTTTCCTCGACAAAGTGCATCGATTCCTCAAAAAAAAGAGGAGACTATACGCGGCGTAGTTTCAGAACCAAAGGATTTAATATCTCCTCGGTGCAGCGGACGAGGTAAACTGCGTATAGAAACTAAGCCCTCACCTCCTCGATCCACGTACACAAATTACCCACAAGCAAGGAACAAAAGCCAAAACGGGCTTCTCTGAGATTATATTATGCACATAAATCTCGCAACAGCAGAGAGAGAGAGAGAGAGAGAGAGATGAACCTCGTATCGACATGCCCATGCATGCTATATGTGGTGTATACGTATATAATGTATAACATTACATCATTATGCCACGCGATGCGTACGCGTGATGTATATATATATATATATATATATATATATATAATATACACATTGTATACCTGAGTGGTGGTGAAGTTGTCGCCGTTTCGGTATCGCATGACCTGTCGCTTGCGGCGCACGTAGTGGTAAGAGATGGCCTTCCACCAGATCGTCGGCTGGGCCAACTTGAGCTGGGTCAGCTTGGCCAGGGCGTTACTTTGGTCCTCGGCGTGGCGCAGATCGATCCTGATCGGCGAATGATAGCACTCGACCAGGTAAACCAGGTACAGCATTCCCATGAACGCCACCTGTGAACGAGACCCCGCTTATATGCAATCTACGATAATTTTTTAACTGTGGTGCTTTATGGTGCACCGGTTACCAGTGGGTCTCCGTTGATCTCGCGGCTTTCCCAATTACGGCTACAACCGCTTGTATAGCCTACATTGCCAACTTTTGGCGGGTAGCTCACACAAAAACGTACACGAGATTACGCGACCGTTTGTCGACTTTTGGTGCAATTGAATCCCGATGGCCAGGGGCTCTTTCTCAGCGCTAACCACATACGAGCCATAACTAACGGCCGGGGGTGCTCGTTCGAACATAAAAGAGCGGGGATATAAATGGCACGCGGACCGCTTTTTCCGAGCCATCAGCGAACTCCGAGGGGGTAGGTAGTAGCCAACGGCTCTTTGTCTCTCGTTTCCTGTTTTTTTTTCCCCCGCCCCACCCCTCGGGACTCGATTGACCGTGCAAGTTTTTTCCACCCTTTCGGGAATTTGCGTGGGGAAAGGGTAGCCGGATGTATTTTCACGAATTTCGGGGATTTTTCTGCTTATGTAGGTACATTACGTATGTCAACTTTGCCGGTGCGTTGCAAAACAGTGAAAAGTTGGACTGTGTCGCGCTTCGTTGGCTGTCTCACTTTGTTTTTTCTCATCTCACAGCTCGGCGCTTGTACCTTTTTTCCGGGAAATTAATTGTCGAAGAGACCGGAAGCGCGGAAAATAATTACTTTCTCCGTTATCTCGAAGCATTTTTTTCTTTTCTCCATTTTTTCCTACGGGTTTGGTTTAAAATATGATAGGTATACAAGTTGTATGTATTACACAGGACTTACGGGAATGTAAATGTAGCCATCGTCGCAGGGCGAGACGTACTTTGTGCTCTTGATTGGAAAAGTTGAAAAATTGATGACTATCTGAAATCGGCAATTTACCAAGTAGTTGTTTATTTTGTATTGCGCGTATATAATATACATTTAGAATCACATGAGCACAATATATACTTATAGACAAGTAAGTAATTATGTTGCGTATGGTCGCAAAAAGGGGAGGAAAGAAGGAGTGGACGAACCTTGGTGACGTTGGCACACCTGCACCAAGTGACGGCGGCGAGACAGCCGTAGATCAGCACCGAAAGGACCAGGCACTTGCAGTTGGCTTCCTTCTGGAGTGCACCGCAGAGCGTCTGTGGTACGGCCTTTTGCTGGGAACAGAGGTTTTTTTGCTTTTTTTTTTCGTCCCCCTTCTATTTGTTATTGCGGTTAGAGCTAAGGGCGTGCACGTTATTACTTTTTCAAATACTATTATTGTTTTGTGCCTTATCACTGTTCAAAAAAATATTTTTTAGCTCCAAGCGTCTAGTAATGTTTCGAGAGGTAAAAAATGTTAAAAAGAAAAGATTACTCGAGTACTATGAGGTAAATTTTATCTTCTACACAAATATATACGTATTATCGCGCTCTTTATGCCGGAAAAAAGGTGTGTCGAGTATTGTAAAGAAAAAAAAAATAATAATAATAAATAATAAAAAAGAACGCACAATTGAGAAAAATGTGAACCTCCAAAAGTATATGTAATAAACGAAACCGAACCCATGAAATAATTGTACCCACCCCACGCATACAGAGTCATGTAAAATTCCCGGCAACTTCGCGAAACACACGATTCGATTATGCCGCGCACTCGACGAAATAAGTTTCGACGGGTAACTTTACGCAGAAACTCGAGAGACTCTTCTCCCGCGAATATCTACATTTGTTCCACGTGCTCGTTGAATTTTTTTATCTTTTTCCCCGAGTTGACGCGCTCCTCCTCCAAAGTTTCCTCGTTATAACCATTCATTTGCTCCGCGTACAAGACAGATAATTTTCATAACGAGCTCCGTAGAGAGGGGGAAAAAAAATTTTTAACTCGCGTGCCAAAACAAACGAATAATTAATGCTTCTTCACAAAGAGACCAAAGAAGAACGTGGCGTCGCAATTAGCTGCAAAATTCTTTTTACTTTACCCCCCAAAAAAGGAGTGCAACGAACAAAAAAAAAAAGCAGGGGAAAGGACTCTCACCTCTTCATTCTCCGGATTCATCGTTGTTGCCACCTGACGTAGTCGACGATCGAGGGTCTCCTTGGGTAGTGTCGGGCGGCCCGGCTCATCTCACTCGATCCTGCGTCCTGCGACAAAAGGACTCCCGCTTTTCATATCCAAACTAGGTTACACCTCTGACGCTGTCTGTTTGAAAACTTTTTCCCGTTTCCCCCTTCCCCTCCTTTTTTCTCTCAAAGTGGCTACAATGGCATTCCCGCCCCTCCCCCCTCCCGTTCACAAAAGAGAGAGTTTGCTCCTCGTCGATGCGGAAAACAGGTTTGCCGGAGTTTTTGTTTCTCACACCGTGGCATTTCGAAAAAAACGAAAATGCGATTTTTTTTTTTTTTTTTTTCTGTCGTATTTTCCATCGTATTGTAACATCCCTCCAACCTAAAGTGGATAAAGCATCTCGAGGCGCCGTCTCGTACACCGAAAAGAATTTGAAAAAGCGAGTGCCGCAGGAAACACGAGCATTAAGTCGTTGAGCGAATTATCCGCGTAATATAAGACTTTGAGGGATACAAGAGAAAAATATGTAGGTTACCCTGAGGATGTGGATGTGTGTGTGAGTGTGCGCAGGGTATACGTACGTGCGTGCATGCACTTGCCCCATATATATTTCGTATTGAACGAGCGAGCCTGAATAGTTGGAATCTTTTTTCTTTGTGATGCAGTGACGAGGGAGAGTTTTAATCTTTCATGCTCCTGTCTTTTGATCAAAACGATTTTGACATGTTTTTTTTTTCTTTCTTTCATTTTCGTCATCCCACCCTTTGGCCGGTGGCGCCTGATTTGTTCCCCCCCCCCGACCACGCGTTACCACGAATTCTCGACATACCTGGGGATGGTCTGGAAAGACAGCTGTTACATAATTTCGACAGACGTCAAGATTTATCCAAAATCCGAAGCTTCCAACTGTCCGTGCAACTATATTTTCCTCGATCGAAGTGGAAAAAAGGAGTTCGAGTGAAAACCAATACCGGACGCTTTTTCACGTCCACTCGATACGTCGAGGTAAATTCAGTTCCGATCGATCGAGCGCACGCGAAACCAATCCGATCTCCATTTATTTTTTAATAAAAAAGAAATACATATCACTGATGGCTGCCAGAGGTCGGTCATAGGAGTTTCGAGCGATTGAACAGAGTCGGCACGGGGATTGCATACACCCGCAAAAGGGCAGCAATCGATGGAAAATAAAATGTGACGCTAAGAGGAGGGGGGAACAACTACTTACTCGAAATCCAATCGAGATCGGGTTATATAAAATATAGATGGGGATTCAATCGTCAACTGCGGCAGTCCAAGCGCGTGTATGCGCTGGTCACCGAGAAACTTCTTTTCGTTCAAATGGGCTTGATTTCACTCTACGGGGGGATGGGACGCTTTAACCACCGCCAAAGAAGCAGGAAGTGTTGCGAAGAGTCTCTTTAATTAACTCGCTTCTCGGCGTTTTTCTCTGCTTTCCCGTCCACACCGTTGGCCTTTTCTGCCGCAGGTTTCGTCAACTCGATTTACCTTTTTTCCCATTGAATTCGCGAGACAAACGTACATCGATAACTGCACTCTCGTCAATACACACAAACATGTATAGTCTCACGATGTTTAAACTTTAACGAGCTGTCAGAGTGGGATGGAGCCAAATTAAAACGACAAGCGACGTTAGCCTCGTAAAACGCGAAGAGTCGAAAATCCGGGACACCAACCGTCTCTCAAATTATCCCGGCAATTAAAATCAAATCCAACAATCGGCAATTTTCACACCCGTGGACGTTGGTACTTTGGTAAGGCCTAACGAATCGGAGAGAAAGAATAGTGCACTGGTGGTGCCAACACGTATATTGCTTGTAATTATCGCGGTTGTTTTTCGAGCCAAAACAGAACAGGGTGAGATTACAATTAGAGCCCCAGTGGTGGGTTGATCGATCGCGGGTTGAAAATTTGAAAATTGATTTTCCTCGATTCCCGACGATTGCGGGGATTTTTTATAATTGGATGGTGAGAGTATTAAGTGATATCGAAGTGTTATTGTTTAACTGAGATTTCGCTCTAATCGGAAGCGATTGGACATGTCGGCCCATACGTTGAGCTCCACTACTGTGCGATGTACTTTTGCGTGCATTTTTGATGCATCCCGTTGCGGCACGTTTTTTTTTTTTGTTCACTTTTTATATTTTAATTACGTGCATTGACATACTTACAGAAGAATCCACTGCGAGTTTTAACACGTAAGACCGAGAAAAACAAGATGTTACTGATGGTAAGATTTTTTTTTCTTTTCTCAAAGATACAATATGGATAGAAATGAAGGCAAATGGATTTCTCTTGGGACAAATTTTTCCCATTCCGTGGGCTCCCCGAGAAAAATGAAGAATCAAAGCAACATAATGGGATCAATCGAGTATGCCAAGTGCGTTTTCTTTGCAACTACTACTCTACATTGTACGTATAATCTGAAAAACGAATTCTACAGCGCATGCACTTTAGTTATTTCATGGCGAAGAGGAGCTTTTATAATGAGTTTATCTATACGTTTTATTGCTACAAAGATTATCGTTATCCACATTTTTGCAAGTGGCAAATCACTCGAAGCGCATTAAAAATTACTCCTATTTTATTTATTTTTTTCCCTCATCAACTTGCATATTAAATCGCCCATCAACGGTCAAAAAGAAGAAAAAACCGATTTGCACCAAAATATCTTTTCATACTACACGGTAACGTCGAGTGCCACGATCGAAAATTCCACTGGCAGTACAATAAATCACCGCGAAGTATTTCCCCGCGCCGCAATTACTTTTGGATTCCCTCGCGCCAAAACTTTATCACTATTGTTAACGTTATTTAGTTCCGCCGAGTATGCGATGCTGACTAGTCAGAATATTTGCCTCACGCGCCAATTTTCCACTCGACACGCGCACCCTCGTTTGGCTTTATTTTTCAATTTAGACTGCACAAGTGCACTTTCTTGTCCACGAACGGGACATTATCAAACCATCGTCGAGCAAAGAAAAATAAACACAATCGACTACATCGGTGCACCATGGTTGTGATAAATGCATAGTCCTGAGTGCACTAGGGGGTGTTGCATGCACGCACATCAGTCACGCTGTCGGCTCATTTGTCACTCGGCAAGTTTTCGGAAAAAGAAAATTTTCCTCGCGAAACGGAACGCAGTTTGTTCGGGGAGTCAATTCCGATCATCATTCGACAGAGAGACGCGTGCCGCGTCTTTACGTAATTATCTATACGTAAATATACACGAAAAAATCAGAGCACGTGCCCGCGATGGACATCGACAGATCGCCGAGTACCTCCGTAACGAGCGCCAAAGTTAATTGGATTTTTCAACCTTGTGTTTGCATTGCATAGACACACGCATGTACAAGTCACTCCGCGTCGATCGTCCTGCACCAGAGATGTTATACGTGAATATCATTTCAAAAAAATGGCACTTTTGTAAGGAGGGGAAAAAAAAAAAAAAAACATCAACACTTTGATGACTAAATAAATAGGCACACCTGCAGCCACAACAAGAACGGCCGAGCCGGCACATCCGCACCGATGGGTCTCCTCCTGGTCCATCCCGAGCACCCGTGGCTGAACAACCACGTCCCCGTGTCGGCTTCATCGTGTCACGCTACACCATATGAGTGACGAATAAAAAAAAAAAAAAAAAAAAACACAGCTCGCCCACCAGCTGCATCAGCGCACCACGGCAAGCCCCGCTCTACTGCGGCCCGCCGACACGCGTCCCGTATCCCACCTTTCTGCACCACCGCCGTCACCGGTGTACATATACGTATCCTAGCTATACATTATATGACTATGTGTATGTGTTACCGTTTGCAAGCAGCGCGCGCGCGCGAGGGAGGAAAAACAAGAATCGGGCAGGTATATAATATATGGTACAATGAACGGGACGGAGGGTGCAGTGTGTAGGTGCGCTGCCAAAGGGGTTTGGGTCGCACGGCGCGGCGTGTATGTACTCGAGGGACACGAGGAGGCACTCCCGTGTACGCGGGAAAATGAAGACAGGCTGGGTGGTGGTGATGGTGATGTATGCTGTACATATAAAAAGTATACGCGTGACGTGGGACTGCGAAATAAATAAAAGGACACAAGGATCGGACGGAGAGGGTGAAGATACAAAACAACAACAGCTGCAGGCTAAGGGGAGAGGAAAAAGAGAGGAGGGTGGGAGCGCGCGTTCCAGCCGTGAGGAGTAGTCGAGGCCGACTACTGCGGCGAGTGCTGGCTCGTGCTTATATCCGTAGCGTCTCGCGGCTCGCCAGTGCGGCGCCCTACCCCAGCCGGGGACCCACTATCCTCACCCCCCCCCTTCCCTCCCTCTCTCAGCGACAAAGGGTGTATTGCCGATGGTGTGGGTGTTTGAGCGCCACGGAGCTTTTATTATATATACACACGGCTCGTGTTGTGGCGCAATGAGCTTGTCAAGGGGTTTCGCTCTGCGTTAGTTTCATGGCTACTTTTCACGCTCGTTCGTTCGCGGTGATTCGGTTAGAAAAGCGCTTTGTATATCGGTTGATCTTGTCGTTACCGAGGCAAAGATTTTTTTTTTTTTTTTTTTTGAAGGAGCTGTATGTAAATTTGACCCCGATACAAGGCGACCTTCGTCCTTGGCTGTAAGGGCGCCTCGCGAGCTTTTTTTCATCCCCCCGAAACTCGTGTCCTGTTGCGTCACGCGAGTTATTTTCGCTTTTACGTGCACATGCAGATTTGCGAGGAAAGCTCCTTTCACGCTTCATTAGCAGAGCCGCTTTTGCACTTCCCTCCCTCTGTCTTGGTTTACTTGACTCGAAGGATAAAGGCTTCTCGGAAAATAGTCGGAATCCCGGGTCAACTCGGGGAAAAATAATAAGAGCCCTCGTCGAATTGTCGTCAACCTATGCTCGAGTGTTAATTTTGAACTGCCTCTGGCTACAAGTTTCGTTTGGGTTCGTTTTAAGGCAGGAGTCCATGCTAAATGTGTTTTCTTCTGTGCAGGGTGGTTCATATTAGCAATACAATATGTCGTTAAAATCCATTCGTAATCCTTTTATTCGTCTGTATCTATAATAGTCAAATAATAACAGTACAGGGGGAAGAAATGCACAGCAGGAGTAGATCAAATGAAACGAAGAGTAATGGGAAACCTTTGAAACATAGGGAGGGGAGGGGGGGAGGTTTAGGAAGAGATAACGGAAAAACGCGTAGAAAGGAGGAGTACTTCCAGTCGAGGATGACGAATCGATGGGAAAAATGGAGTCAAAAAGATATCGCACGTATGCGTGCCCGAACGCGTGATTGATGGCCCGAATACCTATACGCGAAATCTTATGTACGTACCTAATGTTTCTCCGCAACAGGATGCAATTCACATTGCCTTACTTTATGTCTATAATCTAAACTCGAGTGTAAGTACATTTTTATAGATATGTTTATAAAACTCCATAGCTTGAGGACCTTGTGGATGGAGAAAGAGTCTAGAGTCGCCGCCAGTGATAACAGTCAAGCAATGGTCAGACGAAAATGTTCTTTATTTCGACTGCGGTTAATTAAAATTCAGGAGAATTCGCATGTATAGGTTCGAAGCAAGAATAACGCATGGAACTTACGCGGCGATTCAATCTACGAAGCGTGTGCGTATAATTAATCCGCGAGACAGAGCAATTTTTCAGTGACGGGAATACTCGCTGATACTTACAAGAGTACCTATACATGGGACGTATTAAATACGAACCAAACAGCCCTAAATCACGTTAACTCGAGTTATTACACAGCCTCCCTCTCGACCCACCACATGTATGCACGTACAAGCGAATTTTCCGCAATAACCACGGCTAGCTGCGGTGCACCGACGAGTCTCATAAGCGCGGGGACGTTTAATTCGAAGCATATACGCGTGAAATATGGTCCGTGGAGTCGCGAAATATTTCGCGTACGGGCGCATGACTCTTTTTTTTTTTTTTTTTTTTTTTTTCTTTAAACGCGGGCACCTGCCCCACGAGGAATCTCGTTAGCCGCTGAAATCCATTACGCGCGCCCATACGCGTACCGCAGGACGCAGCTTTTAAAATTCAAAAAAAGGCTCTCGTTTGGCAAAACTTCGCGTTGGTCAGAGAGCCGATAAACTTTTCCGTGGAAAGCGGGAACGAGTCTTTTGGGAGCTCGGCGGTCTTCGGGGCGCTCCCTCTTCCGATCGATCTATTTTCCAGCGGCAATGTTCCTGTTTATCGCCCGAACTTTAACGGTAAACGGGGTAAATAATAAAAAAAACGGGTGGGGGTTGGTTCCTTTTTTATTATTTTTCGCGTCAAAGCCTCTGGCGGTGGGAGGATGGAGGTATACACTATGTATATTCGCGCTCGGGTGGAAAAAAATTCTCGGGATGAATTGAAAAATAATGTTTTTTAAAGAGCTCCCGAGGGAGAGGAATTTTCGGAGCTTATTGGCTCGGCTTTGCGTGTGGTTCTGCACTTTGGTGGAGTGCTTTTTTTTTTTCATAGCGTCAAAAAGTTTTTTTTTTTTAAACTCCTTACTCAATTTTTAGATTCGGTTCATTGTAACTTTTATTTTATAACCGAGTATTGAATATTATTATTTGCTGTGTGCTTCTTGCCAGTTGGATAAAATATCTCAGGGCTCAAACCATGTTGTAGTACCAAGAGATTGTTGAACAATGTTATTTTTCATTACACAGTGTTTACCTATACCCACAAAATTATACAATACGAACAATTGTTTCTGTAGCCGGATTATGCGTACGAGCGAAGCTCGACTTTTACTGGACGCAGGTTGGTGAAAATATACAACGTGTCATTTTATTACCGATATTTTTATTATTAACGCAAAACACATGGTACATGAGCGACTGCACGTCATCTTAGAGGCAAAAAGTACATTATAGACACCGTGAGTTTGGGGAAGCGCAAGTTTGGAAGATGATAAACAGACAAAGTGAATAATAAAGAAAAAAGAGTCTGGAAGATGTTACGACCACGTACAACACGTTCCGGAATAGAGAGTGAAAAAAAGGTGATGCCGATCATGTGTAAAATAATCAAGTGTGCGTATATTTGGCAACAAGGCTCGTAGGGTGTAGGATACAAAAGCTTAGAAAATTCGAGGTTGCTCTCAAGAAAGAGCCGGGGGGACGGTATAATGGTATGTATTAATAGGAAGCGAGTCTATATTCATGGGTTTTGTGTAAAAAACTCAAGTGTTTGTGAGTGCGTTTTAATTACTTTACAATATAAACTTGTAAAGTGCGCGTTATTTCTAAATTCCCTCGAAACAGTACCAAAAAGTGGGAAAAGCAAATGTCAGTAGAACGTGTCAGCGAGTGGTTAGACACAACAGACAAATAATGTACTTTTTATGTAATATAATACCAGGAAAAATACTCAGCCACGATAAAAATGAGTTATCCCTCTAACGAGTATACTAACTTTGGATGAGTAAATATTTTGCAAACTTTTAAAACACAAATAATGCATTTAATTCGTACTACTTACGCATAAACCCGCTCGCAACAGACGATAGATGATGACTATATCGGCAACTTCTAATTGAACGAATAAATATGTATGTATATTTTTTTCATTAAAAAAAACTTTATTAAATGCTGAACTAGCGTTTGACTGCCCTTGCCGGGCGATCGGTGAGAATGGAAATCCCCGCCTGCGCCGCATGAAAAGGCTCCCTTCAACTTTTCTCCTCATACACTCGACGAAGAGAAAGAAAAACGAAAATTCTGGCCTCCGTTAAACTACCACTCATCTATACCCAACCCGTGTATGTATATGGTACACGCTTTCCAGAGAAAAGGGATGCTGAGCAAAACAAAAAGCACAAGTGTAGTCGTCGTCCGCTGGCGCCGTCTCGGCGGATAGCAGCTATCGATTGCATCTCCTCTGTCGCCAGTGTTTATATACATAACTCGAGAGGATCTTCGAGGCGCTACGCCCTGTGCTTTTCTATTGCACGATCTTTGCCTTGAGAAAAATTAAAATTAAATAAAATAAAAAAAATTCAAAAACAATCCTTTACGAATTTCCTCAACTCGCGTATAACGTGAATAAACGGATACAAAAGACCAGTCGATCCACCTAATGGAAATGCCGTGCACGCGATGCGCTCTAAAGTGGATTGTTCTGTGAAATCGCATTTCACTTTGGAGGTGTATATTATTATATATATACTAGAGGCCGATCGTTTGACGCGCAAATAAACTGGAAATATTGCACCACAGTGTGCCCGTGGAAGTGCTGTGCTTGTATGTATATACGAATATATGCAGCCTTCAGGTGTGTCGGATGGTTTTTAAGTTAGTTTAAAATGCTTACTTCTACAAAGGATAATGACTATTGTATGTATAATTTGCACAGCAACGACAGAGAGATGGATTAAATGAAAAATGGTACTCTACACGCATACCTATAAGTGAAGTCGGATGAATTTTAAAAAGTGTAGGTGTACGGATAGTATAGATTATTCGGAAAACAGTGAAGACGAAGAAAAAAAAATCATCAAAATATGAGTGCAGCCATTGGCTGGCTACCAAAGTTGACTCTC